TCACCCTTTCTTTCTCTTCCTATCTTGTCTTTCTTTTTCAGCCTTTCTTTTCTTCCTTTCTTTCTTCTTTCTCTTCTCCTATCTTGTCTTTCTTCTTTCACCTTTTCTTTCTCTTCCTATCTTGTCTTTTCCTTTGCTTCTTTTCTCTTTCTTTCACCTTTCTTTTTTTCCGTTTTCTTTTTCTTTCCTTTTAACCTTTTCTTTCTCTTCATTGTCTTTCTTTTTCACCCAGTTTCATTTTCTTTCTTTTTATTTTCTTTCCTTAATCGATTTGAAAATCTTGTCTTTCTTCTTTCACCCTTTCTTTCTCTTCTATCTTGTCTTTTCACTGCTTCTTTTAATCTTTCTATTTTCCGTTTTTCTTTTCTGGCTTTTAACATTGCTTTAAGCCAGTTTCATTTTATTTTTTAATTACTAACCTAATGTTGAAAATCCTTGTAATATATATCATATATATATATATGTAATATATATATATATATATATATATATATAGTTTTAAAAACAAAGGAATGCATTGATTTTAATTTTAAAAGTCTCTAGGGCCCTTTCAGTCAATCAGGAGACAATCGTTGGATTAGCGAAAAGAATATTAACGATATTGAAAGCAAAAAAAAAAAACGGCCCTAGAGACTTTTAAAATTAAAATCAATGCATTCCTTGTTTTTAAAACTATTTATACATTTTGTACCTCAAACATTTGTTTATATATATATATATATATATATATATATATATTCGTTTCGAAATCCTTTGAAAACTTGCGGTAAACTTGCGGCAGACACACAGAATTCTTTGCGTCCATATCACCTGATTTTTACCTCCATGGTATTGTGCAGCTGGAGGCACGTTGGCAAAGTGTTATGAATGATTATGAGGATTACTTTGAAGACCAACGATATGTCAAATTTTTATTGTGTACGTTTTTTTCTAATAAATCACAAACGGCAAAGTCTTTTGGAGTTAACTTGTATTTACACAATGATTTGATACTACGAAATTTAAACAAAACCTTTAAGTAATACCAATGAAAACATCTTAATACTAAACTGATAAGGTAAACAAAAAAAGTCTTTTTTTCATGCCGTTTGGGAATCACTGATACGTAAATGGGAGCATAAAGTGCGGAGGAAGCGTTGGCGGTGCGTTCATTACTCTTGACGAATGCAGGTGCGTTGCGCACACACATCAGTAAAAGCACGTGCATCGGTGAGGAAACATGGCGGTGTCAAAGCAGCTTGTTGTGCGCTGTCTGTTTTATGCCTTTAAGGTGGACTATGCATTTATTTTTATTTTTTACATTTATTATTAATTTTAAACACAACCGGTAAATAATATCGACGGCTCGAATATCATTTTAGCACAGTATATATATATATATATATGAGAAATGAAGTCGTCAAAAAACAAACGTTACGACAGTTTTTTTATATGCACAAATCCCTTTCATAAAAAAATAAAATAAAAAAATAAATAAATCTCCATAGACATGCAAACTAGACGAGGGTTAATACATCTTCCGTTTAAAATTTAGACACCCGTACCTTACCCTGACTTGACATCTATGAAAGTAACTCTATACTGATACTTATTATTAACACCCAACACCCGCCTACCCAACTTAAACAATTCGCCCTAGCTGTTACCATGGAAATTTTGATTTCAATTATTAAAACACGTAAATTTCAGAAATACGTTATTCCAAAAAAAATTTCGCTTGAAGATGGAACAGAGCTTACTTTAACTCAATTTAATTTAAATAATTATATTGAAGTTTTCGGCTCTTGTTTTGAAACTTCTTATGTCGCGATTTGGAATCATATTTTTAAATAAATAATTATATATATATATATATACATATATATTTTGAACAATAAGAAAATATTAAAAAATTAAAATCTTCAGACACACTGGGTTATAGATTAATATTCTTTCGTTTTTTTTATAATATTATTTCATTTAGATTCCTATATTGGCGACTCTCCCGTCGAGATTCGATGCATGAGGGTCAAGCTGATCAGTTTCCAGGAAAACGACAGCCCGACACCGGCACATGAGATTTGGTTATAGTGGTGAAGGCTTCGTACAGGACCATCCACACTTTTTGAAGGAAACGAATACAGACACCTGGTGCACTGAATGCCCCAAGGTTCCCAAACGACCCTCCGCAGGTCTTGAATTCAGAGTTGTCCTTCTAGACCAGTTGCCATCAAGGCTATAGAACCCAGTCTGTCCTGCTATTTTACCCATAGCTGGAGGGAGGGAATTCATTCATACCTTTCCCAAGGGTATTAGCACGTAAGTGAATGTAATGGATTCTTATATATATATATATATATATATATAAATTGAAATTATGTAACAGTCAGTTATAAATCAGCATCGGAAGATTGCGTTGTGCATGAAACTCAGAGTTGTGCTACCGCTATATAATATATATATATATATATATATATATATATATATATATATATATATATACTGAAGATCGCGTTCTTCA